ATCCGCGACGCCATGTTATTAAGCAAGCTTTGCAGCTCTGCAGCTTATATCGGGGTTGCTGGATGCTTTCGCTTTTAGCAATAGCTTGTAGCTTGGTAAAAGTTCGAAGGACGTTTTAGAATTTATAAAGCTTCATATTAGCAAATATTGATGTTTGCTTATGTTTGCTCATGTTTGCCTCTATGAGAAGTGATAAGACCTCGTCGACGTCAGGTTTGATACACATTTGATTTATTGGAATGTTGCACGATCGTAAAGCAGAAGCAGAAGTTTCGTCACTTTTTGGCAGCTCATCAAAAAAATAAAAAATGTTGCAAAGCGTACACACATAACGCATCTTTGTGCAAAGTTTGATGTCTCTACCTCTTATAGTCTCTGATATCCAGGTGTTCATACGGAGAGACAGATAGGGCTAGATCGACTCGTCTACCACGCCTCCTTCTGCCTGTTACATTTTCAGCTCCCGCAAACCTAATATACTTCTTGTACAGAGTATAAAAACAAGTAAAAAGGCTAAAGTCGGGTGTCCCGACTTTAAAATATTCTGCACATATGTTTACAATAATTATAGAAATTTAAAAAGTAAGAGAATTTAAAAAAAAAATTTGATCGATTGTACCTCTTTTGGTATTCGAACTCATGTAAAGGGTGTATAATTGCACATATACAAAGTATGTATGTATATGCTCGTATATTCGTGTCTGTGTAAGCATGTTCGCAGTCAACCAAAGCACCAGCATCAACAACAGCCGCGGGCAGCGCTTGAACAGCGCTGCAGCAGCAAATATATTTATGGCTATAACTTCTTGTTAAATCGGTCTATCATGATGAAACTTGACATACGGACATATAATTACACATTTTCTGCGTATTCACACATTTTCTGCGTCTTATAGTCTCCGAGATATAGGCGATTATACGAATGGAAAATCGGGAAAACGCCCATAGGGGGGAAGTGGGGGGAAAATCAAAAAAATAAAACAAACAACTTGCACAGCGTACACACATAACTCATCTTTGGTGTCTCCACCTTTTATAGTCTCTGAGATCCAGGTGTTCATACGGACGGACGGACAGACAGACATAAATCGACTCGTTTCGTCATGCTGATCCAGAATATATATGCTTTGTGGGTCTGACACGCCTCCTTCTGTGTGTTACATACATGCGCACAAAACTACAAGTAGTATAGCCTTTCACCCTTTGGGTATAGGATATAAAAATGGTTACAGAAATCGTATTTCAATATGTACAAAACTGAATGTAAACTTTTCCTTCATTGTAAAGAATTATATATGACTTTTCATGATATGATCAACTTATTGGGATTAATTAATCAATTAATAAATGAATTAAATTCGATATATTTAAGTGAAATTGGCATGGATTTTAAGTGCCATTCTTGCTCTATGGCCAATTTAAGCTCGTTTGCTATCTCAAACTGCCGTCAATTTTTGAACACTTGAGCGGATAGAATACCCCAGAGATCCTCAATTGGGTTAAGGTCCGGACTCATTGCTGGCCACTTTAAAACTGGAATATTTTTCTCATTAAAATATTCGGTGGTCAGCTTGGCACTATGTATTGGCACATTATCCACTAATCGCCATATATCTGGCCACCAAACTCCATCAATTCGTCGTCCAATAGGTAAATATACATTTTGACATTTGACACATGGGACTCTTTCCTTTGTAGCAAAACGCAGCCCATACCATTGCCGCCCACCACTATGACCACGCTTATAACAGGTGCGTCGATCCTGTCGCTTATCGCGCTATCAGGACCGTCCAGATTAGACTTTTTTCAATCACTGACAATGACATTACGCCATTCCTCCTCCCAGAATTGGTATCTGTGTGCGAACTCAATACGAGGTAAAACACAATATGGCGAGGTAAAAGCTTAGGTTTAGATACCATGGTAGTATGTTTAAGACTCGGATTTTCATGGATTATTTGAATAATTCTACTCCTTGTTACATTGAGTCCCAATTGATCCTTAATCTGTCCATTGCTCATTAAATCCACGGCAGCAAGTCGCTGGATTTGACGTTCGCATCGGGTGTCAATACCAGTTTTCCATCCGCTGCGTGATATTGTTTTATATTGACTCGGATTTTTGAGGAAATTAATAATAGTATTTTTATGACGATTGAGTTCTTTACCAATTTCAACATTTTTGGAACCGCTTTCATGCATTCCAATGATTAATCCTTGCTCATTCTCCGAAAGGCTATTTCCACGAGGCATTTTGCACAGTCTAATACACCAATATTTAAAGAAATGCATTTTATAACATATGTATACTCACGTTTAAGTTTAGAATAAAATTCATGCAATTAAACCTTTTAAATCCAATTAACGTATCGGAGCAGCGAGCGAATTTTAAAAGACATATGTAATTATTTATAACCAAATGCCAAAGGAACGCGTACTTTTTGAGCTAACGGTAAACCAAATATGCAGAGAACAAGGAAATTATAAACTGCACTCTCCAAAAAAATAACGTGCCGTTACCTAATACGTAGAATATAGCAAAAATAGTTTGTCACATATAATTCTTTTACTTAGGTACATGCTTCAGTCGCTCTCCTGCACGGTGCTCTACGTTGAAAACAGCCGGTAAATTATAAAAGCCAAAAGGTGCTCTGTTGGACTCACAAATTCAGTATACTTCTTGCTGTTTTTCTCGACCAAGACGTGGAAAAAGCCGTTCTCTAAATCCATTGTAGTGAAGTATCGCTCCTTCTCCAGATTTTCCAAAATGTCATCAATGATGGGAACTGGAAAACATTCCTTCAACACTATTTAATTAAGCTTTCGAAAATTGACACAAACTCTGTTGCTTTTTCCTCACAACCACGATTGGGCTTGCAAAGTTTGAAGAAGGCCGTATGATTTCTGCCTTGAGCCTCTCATCAATTTGATTTTTTACTGCTTCCAACGCGACTAGGGGAGTGGTGAAACGGCATGATTTCTTCACCTGGAACGATTTTCAGCATGACGTCGGTTTCTGCAGCAGTCAAATTGTTTTCGGCTGATCTGTAGCTCTCGATCATTGTTTGCACTGAATCTTTAAACAGCGAAGGTACATGTTGCTCACAAAATCCAGTCCCATAAGTGCGTGCATTCTATTGTCGATCTGTTGCTTCGGGCAAAACTTCGGGCATAACATAACCAAGAGGTTGCGTTGAATTGCTTCCAAAGCCACGTAAAGTAAAAAAAAAGTCGCTGCATTTCACCGATTTTTGTTAAAAACTGATTCTCCCATTATTGTGACGTCAGCGCCTGTGTCGACCAACCCGTGCACCTAAACGTTGTTGACCATCAGCTTCTTTAAACGTTTCGCCTGATAGACCATGTTGACACCTTTCTCTGCTTTACATTATGCTCTTTATGTAAATGCTCTGCTGATCCGCAATTAAAACCATGCTGCTTCTTTCGCTTTCGATTTTCTTTTGAGCTTCCAGTGCCGACGCACTGCACACATATTGTTTTCCAAATTCATAGACCAACAATTCATAAAGTTCTTTATAGTCGAAGACTGTTGTCGATTCCAAAAATAATTGAGCTGTACGTGTCATTTTAGAGCGCGCCTGTACATATTTTTGTTTCTCGTCAAGGCCGTAAGCACCGGCATTAATTCGAAGTTGGCAAACCACTGCTATATTCGCTGTCAAAGTCAGTAATAATTTTATTTAAATTACCCGCAATAATTCAGCAATCTGATCTCAGAAAGTATAGAACAACCAAACTTGGTATTCAGATTCTCCTAAGAGTTTGAGTTTCGAGTTTAAGTTTTCGATGCACCCCCACTTTCCCGCAATTCGTGTTTTTTCCATAACTCCCATAATCGAATTTTTGATTCAAATTTGGCCAATACCTCCAGTTAGTGATTATGACTCCGTATGCAAGTTTCATTATGATAGGAAGTTGTACCCATAAACATGAACTTGGCCCGTAGCTGTTGTTGTTGCAGCTTTGCTTCAACTTTGTGATGCATACAAACATGCATATAAATACGCAGACACGATTCTAATGTTAAAACTGTACATGAACATGCCTCCACTTTTGTATGTATGTATTGAATAATTTGTATTTAATTAAATTAATTTAAAATTTAATTTTTAAAACAATTTTGTTTTAATTTTTATACTCTGTACCCAAAGGGTATATTAGTTTTGTGCGACTGTACATGGAACACACAGAAGAAGACGTGGCAGACCCCACAAAGTATATATGTATATTTTTGATCAGGATGACAAGCTGAGTCGATATAGCCAGTCGATGTATGAACGCAAAGATCTCGGAAAGAATAAGCGCTAGAATAACCAAGCTTGGTATCCAGATTATCCTGAATCCGAGGAAGGACGAGTTTCATCATTTTTTTTTCTGATGCACCCCCCCCCCCACTCACGATTTTCTATAATTCTTGGGATTTTGAACTAAAATTTGGTAGTCACACCCAGTTAGTTATTATATATCCAAATTTGTGCTGCATACATACACGCAGAGACACGATTCTGATGTGTTGAATATTTCATACTTAATTCAATTAAATTAATTAACTTTTTTTAAATCATTTTTTTTTTGTGGAGAGTACAGGGTACACTACTGTCGGGCTTGCTCGACTGCAGCGTTCTATCTTCTTTTTCCTTTTTTGTGGGAGGTACAGGGTATTTAAGAGTTTAGCTCGCTGGACTTCAGCATTCTCCTATTGTTTTTATACAAATGCATATACATTATTTAATAATGCAATATGTACGTACATAGCACTTGCCTGTATATATGTATATTAATATATGTATGTACATATACATATTTATGTATGTACTTGTATGTGCATCCTCATACTCGTATGCATAAGTATCTAAGTATGATGGCTCAAGCCACTTAAAAGTGTATACTTTTTTATACAGGCTGATACCTAATACGTATGTACATATGTATATATCCATACATATGGCTTTGTTTTTGCGTACATTATTTGTTACATACCGGGCTGATGTTTTTATAAATATGTGGAATTGGTGCCTTGGGAGGAAACGTCCATGTTTCTATCCTACTGGCGCGCACAAATGTAATGTGTTGACTGTCTTTTATGGCGCCGCCTTTGTTATTGTCCATTTCTTCAGGCGGCATACTTTGTTGTTGATCTGACATAAACTCCCCAAAAGAATTGTAAAGAGGATACTGCTGCTGGGCAGTAATATTTGGCGATGAGCCGAGCGACTCCTCGCTTTTCCGCAATTTAGTACGAACGAGAAGCATTGTAATTGATACAGTACTGCTATTAATCATCGTTTAGTTTCTGATACTTTTAAAGTTTGTAGTGTGCTAATTTACAGATATGTATATATCATATATCACAGATTGTTATACACCAAGTGCCTTCATCAGAACATAATAGAGAACGATACACAAACCCCAAACACAACACTTAACCGAATAGTCATAAGGTTTCTATCAGAACTAGTGATGTAAGCTGTCATTAACACAAGCGATTGTTTTAAATTAATCGATTAATTTCTTATACACTTAACATCGGCCTTAAGCAGCCCATGCACACGCGAATGATGTTTTCGATGGTTATTTGTAAAAAATGAATACGTCTTCGGTGCTTCGTAAAAAATATAAGTTTATTTTAGGAGGAAATCACGCACTAACGCACATACTTAATGTTAACCATGGATATGCGCATTCTATTTAAGAACCACAAATGATCAAAACAACTTTTGCATTATATACACATCAAAGTGGGTAACAAATATTGATTGGAAATACATATCTCTATATTTACAATGTAATAAGAAAGGATCAAAATTGCCTATACCGGTAGAACACAAATTCTATCCGAGTTTAACAAAATCTAGAAATGCGATGCAAGCACAAAAAATATCGGACAACATCGTTGTATCGTTGAAAAAAATCTACGACGCTCGATACATCGATGTTTTTACGTGGCTTTTATCTGTTACATACCTGGTAAAATTATATACAATTAAAAATCTAAAGCAAATTATCGAAAACTACAAGATAATGCATATGTAAGTTGAAATATTAAATTCAATGGTTCATTTTTACACCGTATAGAATATACATCTATATATATAACAGTTTGTTCTGACTGACTGACTGATTGGTGATCAACGCACAGCCCAAAGGGTAAGAGCTAGGAAGCTGAAATTTGGACTTAAGTATCCTTTCATAGCGTAGGCTGACGATAAGAAGCGATTTTCGAAAATTGGGTACTTGGTTTTTTGAGATTTTTCTTGAGACCTGAAATATGGGAGTTTTCCTATGAAGAGAGGCAGTCAACAGTGACGGTAAATTTGTGCCGCTTATGCTCTTTGAATGTGTGCGTGCACATATATACATGTATACGTTTATATGTATTTGTTCTTTTGCTGTTTAGCGAGCAGTAGCTTCGCTTTTCATGGGCATGAGAATTTCATACACTGTTGGCATCTTCTGTCGCATTGTATGAGTATGCAAGTGAACTCTGTCAACAGTGTATGGGTTTCTAATAATGCCTATAAAAGCACACATACATACATATGTATGTATGAATGCAAATGTAGTGTTCATATGCAGACAGTAGCCTTGACATTGGCATGACCTACCTCAACTTGTATTTATGCACAGGCAATTTTGTTGATTGACTATTTCCTATTTTTGTTTGATTGACTTGAATATGTGGCGGTTACATGCAGTCGGTATACACCAATGTATGCACCCCTAATCGATAGCAACCTATCGATAGCATCAAAAGCACTTGTTAACTGAGCTTCGATACACAGCAGCATCGTCCACCATCTCCGCACGTTAATTTCGCACATTGTATAATTGTATAAAGTGGTTATTGTTACAATTATTATTATTATCACAACAAGATCCCACATTGGTGACCCCGACGTGATTTAACACTGCGAAGACGTCAAATTTTAAAGAATATAAACTATCAAATGCTACGGCGATTTCTGTGGAATTACACACATACATACAAACGTAAATACATTAAGTGCCCGCGTCTCATACATATATACACACGTTTCAAATAATTTCACAACTTGATGAAACATCGGACCATGAGTGATTGTTCTTCAGACGACACAGTAATTGAAGGTACCTCCTCTGCTGATCCAACTTCGATTGAACCAGACATGGAGTCAAACAACATAGTTAACCGAGTGGCAGTGAAAGTCCCGCCATTTTGGGCCGAGCGTCCCGAGATCTGGTTCGCTCAAATTGAATCGCAATTTTGTATCGCAGGAATTTAAGCTGACCAAACAAAGTTTCTCAAATTACCGACGCTGTGCTCAATCCGCCCGCAAATGACAAATACGAGAATCTCAAGCGCAGTGTTATAGAGCGATTTTGTGAGAGTGAACAGATGAAGATTCGCAAACTTCTTTCTGATATTGACTTGGGTGATCGCCGCCCGAAGCAGCTCCTTAATGAACTTCGTGGATTGGCCACAGACCGCATAAGTGAAGATTTTCTCAAATCTTTGTGGATGCAACGTCTGCTACCACATGCACGTGCCATTCTTCAAGCATCAGGCGATGATTTACAAGGCTTGGCGAAATTAGCTGACAAGGTCCTCGAATTTGGAGGATTCGGCCAAGTCAACGTAACTTCTAGTACCGCAACGCCATCTAACCCAATAGACAAAATTTTGCTCGCTTGGATAATTTGGAGAAATGCATTCCATGAGAAATGGTTCCATGAGAAATTTGGCAACAAGGCCAAAAAATGCAAGCCACCATGCTCATTTAACGATTCAAAAAACTAAAAACCACTTCTGTTCCGCCGCCCACCGAACCAGAAGTCAAAAGCTACGTAGCACGCATCACAATTTACGACAAGGGCACTCAACACAAATTTTTATAGGACACAGGTGCTGACGTTTCAGTTCTGCCGGTTTTACCCAAAGATAGATTTAATCTAACAAACTCTTTCAGTTTATTCGCAGCAAACGGCACGCCTATCAAAACGTTTGGTGAAAGGCGCCTCAAACTCTCACTTGGACTGAGACGCGATTTTGTTTGGACATTCATATTGGCAAACGTTTACATGCCAATCATTGGGTCAGATTTTCTGAGCCATTTCGACCTGTTGGTTGATGTTAAGCGGTGCACATTTATCGACACAAAATCATCGCTACAATCACGAGGCATCGTTGTCCAAGCGTGCGACCCGACGATAGTATCGCACATCACTAACGACGATGTTGCTGATTTACTCGTTGAATTCAAACAACTGGCAATCCACAACCATAACACACAGCCGTCTCCTTCCGACGTAACGCACGTCATCGAGGCCAATGGACCAGCAGTCTTTTCCCGACCACGGAGGCTCACTGGTGACAAACTAGCTGCCGCAAAGAAAGAATTTGCTTACATGGTAGAACGTGGAATTTGTCGTCCCTCTAGTAGTAGTTGGGCATGTCCGTTTCACATGGTTCGAAAACCCAACGGCGAATGGAGACCATGTGGCGATTATAGAGCACTAAATGCAAAGACAGTGCCTGTCGCTACCCACTACCATTCGTGCATGATGTCACAAACATTTTGTACAACAAAACGATATTCTCAGTCATCGACTTGCAGCGGGCGTATCACCACATTTCAGTCGAACCAAAAGACATACCGAAGACCGCAATTACCACACCTTTCGGATTGGTTGAGTTTTGTTACATGACCTTTGGTTTCCGCAATGCAGCCGAAACATTTCAAAGATTTATGCACAACGTATTGCGTGATCTAGAATTCGCATTTGTTTATGTCGACGACATTCTCATCGCTTCTATCAGTATGGAAGAACATAAGCAACATTTACGAACAGTGTTTGGACGACTTCAGCACAACAAGTACAATCAACGCTGACAAATGCCAGTTTGTAAAGAATGAGGTCCAATATCTTGGTCATAAAATTAATGCAAATGGATTTCTACCATTGGAAGTACGAGTCTCAGCCATACGAGATTTTCAGCAACCTGCAACAGCATGTCAACTGAAGAAATTCTTAGGCATGATAAACTATTACCGTCCATTTATACCGAATGCGGTAAACAGTCAAAGCAAACTGCAATCGCTGATAAAGGGAAACAAGAAGAACGATAAAACTCCAGTGGAATGGACTCCTGATACTGTAAGAGCATTCCAGGACTGTAAGGACCAACTTGCTAACGCTACTTTATTGACATTTCTCGCCCCAAATGCAAAACTCTCGTTAAGCACAGATGCCTCTGACACCGCTGTTGGAGCTGTAGCACACCAACTAGTGGATGGCAAACTTCAGCCGGTTGGTTGTTTTTTCAAAAAAACTGAATCCTGCACAAATTAGGTATGGAACCTACGACCGCGAACTGCTGGCAATATGTTTGGCAATACGTCATTTTCAATATATTCTAGAAGGCAGACAATTTACTGTTTACACAGATCACAAACCACTCATCTTCGCATACTCGCAAAAATTGGACAAAACTCCACCCGTAAGAGGAAGGCACTTGGAATTCATAAGCCAATTCACCACTGACATCAAACATGTGTCTGGTAGAGACAATGAAGTTGCGGACTTACTCTCTCGCATTAATGCAATCACCGAAATAAATTTCGATGATACTGCCCAAGAATTTGATCCGGAACTGATGCAAATACTGAAGGATAACCTTGCCGAACACGTCGTTTTCCCTTTACTGCGACGTTAGCACATGCATAGCTCGACCATTCATACCACAGCAGCTTCGGCAGAAGGTGCTGCAAAAAATACATGGTCTATCACATCCAGGACGGAGAACTACACAAAAGCTCATCTCAACATGATTTATTTGGCCGTCATTGTCAAAAGACGTTGGCAATTTTGTACGCACATGCACGCAATGCCAGAGATGCAAACCGGGAGCTATGGACCAACAGATCAACGTTTTGATCACATAAACATCGATATCATCGGACCATTGCCAACCTCACGAGGAAACCGATACTGCTTGACTTGCATCGATCGATTTTCCAGATGGCCTACAGCAATTCCAATTCCCGACATATCAGCTGAAACTGTAGCCACAGCGCTGATAAATGGATGGATTTCTTTATTTGGCGTTCCACTTCAAATCAGTAGCGATCTTGGACGCCAGTTCGAGTCAGCCGTTTTTTCTTGATTGATGCGAATTTTGGGTATTAACCATTTACGCACAACCGCCTACCACCCACAGTCAAATGGTTTGGTGGAGCGCTGGCACCTCTCTCAAAACAGCCATAAAATGTTACAGGACCAACGACTGGTGCGATGTCCTGCCTCTAGTCCTGCTTGGATTACGTGCCACGTGGAAAGAAGACTTAGGAGCCAGCCCAGGGGAAATGCTTTTGGGATCATAACTTCGCATTCCCGGTGAGCACCGCCTACGATCGCCGCGGAT